TTCTCATGCCCCATTCTCTAGTTACATTCATAGATGTTAATGCATTCATCAGTGACATTCCTACGTTACATAGTATGTCTATTAGTTTTAATCCTTTGGCAACCTCGTATCACTATTTTACTCATTTGTTACTTCACTGACCAGAAAAAAACATAAAAAATAATGTTCAACTACAAAAGATTGGCTGGCATAATTGATTTTAAATTTATTTTTTTTTATTGTTAATCTTGATATTGTTTAAACTATGACAGCAAGAGAGTCATGGTAAAAAATTTATTAACTTCATAAAACGGATATTTAAGCATTAGAAATAAAAAGTGAAAATCTGGACCAATGCACTATCAGATGATTATGCTCCACTTGGTCCAGATTGCTTGAGAGTTTGGCTTAATGATGTCATCAAGAGGGATTGTCCTTTGTATCAAGCAAAACTATGGCCATGCAGGAGAGTTTCTGCTTCTGCACAAAGGTTGCATTTTGATCCCTAGAGGGGTTCTGTTCAATTCCACATGACAGCACCATTGCCATAAACTTCCTAAAAGTTTTAAAAAATGTGGCAAATTAGTTTTAAAAAATCATCAACAAATGGCCTGAATAGATAAAAATATTTTTATCGATTGGTCACTGGATTTGCTAGCTTGAAGAAAAAATTTATTGAACCTTGACTGTACTGTAGTATTGTGGCATTTAATTCGATGGATAGAGTTTTCATTTATTGAGCATTTATTGGTCCACATGATTGATATTAATTACATTTCACCATGGTTAAAGGAAGCTGAAGGGGTGTGGACATATTTAATCACTTATAGATACTTGTATAGATTTTATGTTCACACCACCATTGATAAACTTTTACTTATTTCTGGAAGCTGTGTGAATCTATCATGTATAGCGCATATATTTCTCGTAAACCATGGGTAATTTTGATCGACAAGGGTGAGTCTACAAGGACATTTATGGTAATCATCCAATTTATTAGCACCCTATGAGCTAGAGCCAATCACACATTTACATAATTCCTTGAATTTTAACATAGATTTAATAATTCGTATTTGTAAATTGTGGCTGGTAGGTTACCTCTTTACTATGTAATTGTTTCACCATTCATCAACTTGCTGCTTGCCCTTTTATATTGTCATCAAATATTTGTCCACAATATAGACATGTCACATGGATAAGACTACAGTACTACACATGGAGTGTCAATATTCTCCGTTTTGCATTCGAGTTGTGTCCTTGCTTTTATATAGTAAATGGTGTACTTACTAATGGCAAAAAATAATTAATTAACACTCATATAAACAAATCGAAACCGTCAATGGGACACCAGAAATCTTAAGGATCACCCACCGGAGAAAATACAGGCAACTAAAGTATTGCCACTCACATATGAACACCTCTCTCTCTATATATATATATACCTAAGTAATTCACATGGGGAAAAATAAATGATAAATCCATGTTACATGCCTTCATATTTTTGTTTAATTTGTATCATCTCTTGACTCTCCTGGACATGCATGGTGATTATTGAAAGTTAAGGAAAGGCTTGTTTTCATTAAATTTTGTTGTTTGCTGAAGCTATGTTCAAATTATAACACTGCCAATGCACCTTCATTTTGATCAGCATATATAACTAGTTGAGTAGCATATATTGGTCAGCAATTGACAAATTTATGTAGTTGTCTCACCCTTATTTTCATTTTGGACACATTTCTTACAATTAAGTAGTGGTTGTTACACTTAAATGTGCAACCTTCTGTAGCCCCTGCATGAAGAATTAACAAGAAATAATAATTTCTTTCAATTAAATTTTTTGTAATTAATAACCAATGGCATAATGGTTCTAGATTCTACAGAAAATGTTGAAACAAGGTAAAGTATAATAACTTGTACATTAAAATTTAGAACTAGAGAACAACTTTATACTTTACCTTTTAAAATTTTTTTGGGCTATTTGTGTACGTAAATAAATACAAAACATGCAATAGAGAATTTTAATTTCTCTCTCTAAGATAAATACAAAAACACACACACATACGAAACATATATGGACAAGGCCTTCTCTTTTTGATAACTAAGAAAGGGTTAGTGGTAGTACTTGGACTGGTAGTAGTTAAAGAACAAAATATTGTTAAAGGAATAAAATTGATTGAGAGATGTCAGTTTGAGATTGAAACTTACAGAGATTTGAGAGCTTTTGTGTGATTTAGAGATAACTCAAGTTCTCTCTCTCTCTTTAAGGGACATTCAATTGTTGAAGGAGCAGAAAGTCTTCTGGCGGCATTGGGACAGAATAGTGCAGCATATTGTGAGAAAAAATGGGGAAAATAGCGTCTTTATGTGGGGGTAGTTGGAGTTTGATCAACATTAGGACAGAAAAGGGCGCTGGTGAGAACTGATGTGAGATTGTATGGGGGAAAGAAATATCGGAACGACCTCGTTTTTACCTCATTAGGTTATTTCATAATACAAAACACGGGCGCCAATGTATAAAAAATTAGGATAGAGATAAGGCGGTACTGTAAAACTGGACGAATTATCCAATTCGTCACTAAAACATATAACAAATAGTGATGAACTAGTATTTTGTCTCTAAATTGCTGCTTTTAAGGACGAAATAAATTTTGTCTCTGAAATTTTGTCACAAAAAGTCACTTTTGTTGTAGTGTGGTAATATATATATGTATTAAAATTTATCATTATGTGTCAACAGAGTTTAGACATTTAATACATAATCAATGCATTATAGATATATTTTTAAATATTTAGTTACATTTTTATCATTTTTTTTAACTGGAATAATAATTGTTTTTACCTCTTCCACCCTTCTTTCTTGTAGCTGCTTTACTGGACTGGAGTTTGATATCTCTTGTTGATTTGGTAGCTTTTCTTCTCATTAGATTCACAGCACCAAAAAGAGGTAAGCTTCTTATGCACACCCACCTTTTCTGGTTCAGTCTTTATCATTATGTCATTTCCCCTACTTTTAAATATACATGCATAAGTTCAGAAGAATATCTGCATCTTTTACTCTTATTGAATTTAGGATTTATAGAATAAGAAAACACAATTATTAGTGAAATTTTGTGAGTAAGAGTGCTTCCCTTCTCCTATCACATATGTGTATATATATACAATTGCTATTACAATGAAATGACCATATTTCCCTTTAGTAAAATACCTAATATTATAACATTTATCACCAATTTCTCCTTTCTCTTCTTGTTTTTTATTTTTTATATTTTGATTCAGTATTCTTTATTAAATGTGTGAACTTCTCATAGGGCTTTCCAGCACTTATGCCATATTAACTATATGTACGTTTCCTAGGAACTAAGTAAAACCTAAAATCATAAGCTCTTTCTAGCAAATGTATAAAAGGGGAATAAACATATTGTAATAGTATAAACATTCATAAATCAGTAGTTGTGATAGAGTAACTTTAATACCATCAATAGTTTTTCTTAGTTTAAAATTATTATTTTTTTGTTATTAATTATAGTGTTGTTATTAATATGTTAGATGGATATGAATGTTGAGAATGTGGAACAATGCGGTGATTCTCTCATAATTGAAGAAGTGGTTGAAGTTACGAACGATGGAAAATTGTTATGGGATGAGTCACTCATTGAAAAATTCGTGAATATTATGGTGGAAGAAGTTAAAGCTAATAATCGTAGTGGCACAACATTTACTAAAAGTGGTTGGAGTAATTTAGTCAAACAAATGAATGTTCAAACGGGGAGAAAATTTGGTTTAACCCAACTTCGGAATAAGTTTAATGGTTTGAGGAAAATTTATACTGAGTTTAAGAAATTATTATCGGAGACTGGCGTGGGATATAACAATGAGATGGACATAGTTATAGTTGAGGAAGAGAGATAGGACAGGTTGTGCAAGGTTAGTAATTTAATTATTAGTCCTAAATAAATAATAAAATCTTGTATATTATTGGTTATGTGGTTAATATTATAACAAAATTTGTAGGTTGTTACGAATGCAAATAAGTATAAAAAGTATGGATGTAAGCATTTTGAAAAGATGTCGACTATATTTGGGGACACATATGCAAAAGGGATGCATGCCCACCCATCCACTACAACACCACCCACAATCATTTTGCCCACTCCCAATGATGACGATGATGAGGAAGAGGGTTGTGAGGTCAGTCCCCTACCTTTACGTAAAGGTAAGAAAGCCAAAAGAGATGCTTTATCTCCTGGTATAGCTGCACTCTTGTCAAACATGAATGAGAATTGTGAAAGGAGAGCTGAGAGAATGGAAGCTGCAATAGAGAAAGCAGCTAAAGCATCTTCTACTTCTACTCGTGTATCTTCGTGTGAGAAAGGAGATGATGAAGTTCTCTCTCCCTCAAAAAATGATAGAGATTATGAAATATTTGATGCCTCCATGCTCCTTTTACAAAAAATACCTGGAATTAAGATGGCCCAATTCGCTAAGGTATCAAAGTTATTACATGATTCTGAGAAGTGGCAGAAATTTTTTCTTTCGGCACCTAAGGATGTAAGAATTGGTTGGGCATTGAATGTTTGAGTTTTTCTTTATGGATGATTGTGTTTTGTGTCATCGTTTAACTTATTACTATCTCACATTTGGATGACTGTAATAACTTAAATACTTTTATTATCTCACTTTTGGATGACTGTAATAACTTAAATATTTTTATTATCTCACATCTGGATGACTGTAATAACTTAAATACTTTTATTATCTCACATTTGGATTACTGTAATAACTTAAATATTTTTATTATCTCATATCTGGATTGCTGTAATAACTTAAATACTTTTATTATCTCACATTTAGATGGCTATAATAACTTAAATAATTTTATTTCTTGGATGCCTGTTAGTACTCAAATACTTTAATACCATCATTTAAATGTTTGTTTTATTATTTAAATGTTTTGTTTATTATTTAATTGATTTGCTTATTAACTTAAATGTTTTGCTTGTATTAAATCTTTAAATAGGGTAATGGATATGTGGAACAATATAAGAAGAATAATTCAATTATATGACGATGAGGAGGACAATGAGAGTGTCTTAATATTTGCTACTCTTTTAGAAGAGCAGAACTTCTATCAAAAGAGGCGTTGTAGGGATTCCATTTTACAAGGGGAAACATATGTTATGGAGATTTTAAACGGCCATAGAGAAAGACGTTATGAAAATTTTAGGATGTACCCTGAAGTTTTCAGAACATTGTGTAGTACCCTGAAAGGTATAGGGCTGAAGGATTCTAAATTTTTAACTGTTTATGAACAAGTGGCAATCTTTTTGCTCACTTTATCTTATAATCAAAGGAATCGTGTTGTAGCAGAGAGATTTCAACACTCCACTGAAACCATTTCTAGACACTTCCATGATGTGTTGCATGCAGTATGTCAGTTGGGCACCCATATCATTGCCCCTCCTAATTTTTCTGTGATTCGGAATAAGATTAGAGAGTCTTCTAGGTTTTACCCTTACTTCAGGCATTGTGTGGGAGCTATAGATGGAACCCACATTCCTGCAACTCTGCCAGCAAGTACACAACTTCTATTTCGTGGTAGAAAGGGTTATACTACACAAAATGTAATGGCTGTATGTGACTTTGACATGAGGTTCACATATGTGCTAGCTGGGTGGGAAGACTCAGCTAATGATTCGAGAATCCTAAATGAGTGTACTGAAAATGAGGCAATGAACTTTTCAGCTCCATCAGCAGGTAATATTATTTTACAAATTCACTTAATATATGGTTAGTTTATCATACTGTATATATCTTTATGTATTCTAAACATGGCAGGTAAGTATTATTTGGTGGACTCAGGGTATGCCAAAAAGCCTGGTTATTTGGCCCCATTTCGAGGTCATACTTACCACTTTCAGGAATACCGTAGGACTAGACAACCTCGTGGTCGGGAAGAAGTGTTCAATCATAGGCATTCATCTTTGAGAAATATAATTGAGCGATGCTTTGGGTTATTGAAGATGAGATTCGCTATTTTGAGGGCAATGCCTCCTTAGAAGTTTTCAACACAAGTATTGATTGTAATGGCTTGTTGCACATTACATAATTTCATCAAAAATCAGCATCAGCCTGATGACATATTTGATGGTAATGATCCTCCTCAAAGTGATGGTGAAGATGATGAGATTGTTGAGCATGTGCCTTCGGCTCAGCTTCGAGAAATGGATCATTTGCGTAATACTATTGCTGATCAAATTTGGAATTCTCTTCAGCACTCTTGATCCTTCTGAAAGTGATGGTAAATTTTTTCTTTTATATGTAATATATTTGTTGCTATTGTGAGCTTGCAATATATATATGTAATATAAATCTTTTTTACAGATATATAATTCAACTTAAATGCTATTATTGCAGATATGAAGTGTGTTGATACTCTCTTGAAGGCCACATGTGCTGTTATGAAGATGATGTGTCGTTGCCATTGTCAACCACTTTATGAACTTCTTATCAATTTCTAGTGACAACTATGTATTGTTAATGCTTTGTTCCAAACATTTTATGTACAACTTAAACTTGTTTAATTTGTTGGTTGAATATTTAAGGACTTGTAAATGTTATACACTCTATTTCAATTATGCTTTCAATTGAGTTTGTTTTTATTTTAATGTTATGTTGGACTATACAGGTATCAAGATAATAAAATTGAAGCAGGTTATTGCAAAGAACTTGTAAATAGGTTATTGCAAATTTTTTTTACAAATATTGACTCTCATGTAGTATTGTAAAATGTGACTAGAGATTATTTATTTTTAATGTTGAGTTGGACTATACAGGTATAATCATAATAAAATTGAAGCAGGTTATTGTAAAGAACTTGTAAATAGGTTATTGCAAATTTTTTTACAAATGTTGACTCTCATGTAGTATAGTAAAATGTGACTAGAGATTATTTATTTTTAATATTGAGTTGGACTATACATGTATAATGATAATAAAATTAAAGTAGGTTATTACAAATAACTTGTAAATAGGTTATTACAAAAATTAATATATATATAATTTGGTGGGGGTTTACATTTTTTTACAAAAGAGAAGGCAAGAATCTGTATTTTGGAGTTAAATTCCCACCAATGCAGACTTATAAGAGTCGAAAATTATTATCAGAGCTGTGTAGTATTTTTTTTTTTTTTCTTTCGCTAATGCGAAAAATGAGCAAAATGAATGAAACACAAACCTATGGACAATCATTACCAAAGGAACAAACTATACTAGGAAATTTCAAATAACTTAAAGTGTAGTTTCAGATCAAGATAACATGTTGTGTGTGTGTGTGTGTTTGTATGTTCAAATTTTAATATATTTATTAAAAATATATAGACTATTTATATAGAAATAAATTTATAAATAAATTTAAAATTTATAAAAATAAATTAAAAACAATGATAACCAAATATGTTTTTTGTTTCTGTTTTATTTTGTTTACAACAGTTGGAGCTACCAAACATGATTTGTTTTTAAAATTCTTGAAACGCATGACTTACCAAACATGTTTTGCATGTTTTTGTTTCCGACATTTTTACAGTAAAAGATCGTTCCCAAATATGCTTCCGATTTTTGCCAAAACACTCCAATAGTAAAAACGCTAATTCTGTTTTAGCCAAAAACAAAACGCCTAAAGTAAAACGTATGCCAAACGGGCCTTGTGATGCCCCCTAATTTTGGAACACGGATTGATCAAGTCCGCGCACAAAATCAAGGGATATCAAAACAATTTAAGTATTTAACAAGCACAGAATACAAAGATGAATAATAAAGAATAAATAAACCGCTGAAGAAAACTAATAAATAAATATTACTTAATGATTCTCCAACAATTACAATTCGGAAATCCCATAACTCAAGGACCCCTTAAAACATTATCCAATAATCCAATACTATTTAAAAGTACACAAGATGAATAGACGAATGACAGTCTCCCAGCTGCGGATCCTCAACCTCGAGACTGGAACCTCTAATAACCTGAAAAATAAATCGTGGGTTAAACCCTACGAGCAAGTTCACTCTACCAGGCCTCTGAAAACCAATAAGCAGATCATCTCTGATCAAAACCAAACCTAATAAAGTTTTAACTTTAATAAAGCACGATATACATGTCTATATATAATTATATATACTATACTAATCACATCCATTAATAGGTTTATTAAATTTTCATACCTATTAAATAATTATTAAAATAATATTCATACCTAGACCAATCTACCATTTCATTTTATAAAAACTCCTTTGACCTTAATCCCATCCTAATCAGTTGTCTAATCATTTAAACAACAAATTATAATAAAAGAAATACTCTATTTAATCCCAACCTGATAATGATTTAAATTGTTTAAATCACATATCCAAAATCCAAGTTTTGACAAATCATCCACGTCTTCCCCAATATTATTTTATTAATGTAAAATAATACACTAACCAGTAAGTACTAAACTATTCTCATTTAAGAATATCTAACCCTAATCCAATCCATACATACAACAACCATAGATGATATTTTAATCATCTAACACATAACAACGTAATTATGCTTTGGCAAATCAACCATGCCATTGCAAATATTTTTATTTATATATTGGCAATTCAACCATGCCTCCATAAGTATATTTATTTATACATTGGCAATTCAACCATGCCTCCGTGTATGTATATTTATACATTGGCAATTCAACCATGCCTCCACAGGTATATTTATTCATACATTTAATTAGCAATTCATCCATGCTTTCCATATATGTATTCTATTCATACAAATATTTAGGTAATATATTTAATCATTTGACAATTCATCCATGCCCACACTTTAACCATGAATTAACTTTAAAATTAACAATACGCTAAATCATACATAGCCATCACATGCATATTATACGCATATCATTAATTTAACAACCAGCCTATTAAGATATGCCAAATAAGAATGATAATATTAATCATCTTAAATGATTTATATATATATATACCTACACATATGTTATTTAATGTATATATGTGTTTAACACCTTCTTTAATAATCCTTGATTATTTAAAATCAATATACATACATACATACATACATACATATATATATATATATATATATAATTATTTATATATGGGTATATATGGGTATACAACTCATAGACAAATTAAACTATATATACCCATATATAAATAATTATATATATATATATATATATATATATATATTTATACACTTCATTCCATAACAAATTATTAATTTATTATATTTATACAAATTAGTGCAACTAAATATGTCAGAAATAGTTTCCTTTAAATACTCCATATTGGTTTAAATAGTTTTCCGACACTTTCTCACTAAAACATAAATATCTCCTAGTAGGATGGGAATCTGATAATGAAATTGGTACCATTGGAAAGAAGACGAAAAATCCTTGAATTTGAGCTCAAGAATGACCCAATTTCGATTTAAAATGACTAAGTTATGACCTTTTTAATTTCTAGTGTCGAATTAGGCCAACATAGTTTCCCACGCGCGCCCACGTGCTTACTATGCACTTGCACGCGCTGGATTCAAGCCTCCTTGTGTGCTGGTATTGGCTAAGCTCTTTCAGCTACCGTGAGCTCACCACACTGAATCCATCACTTCCTTTATGCCGCATCCAATGGTCATAAATGAGTGCGCAAATGAACACGCTCACACTAGATTATTTTCTATTAACTATAATAGATCTAAGGTCCAGATCAGCGAGTGCACCATCTTCTCATGGTCTGCAATACACCAAATAATCCCATAGTTGACCAGACCACTTCTATGGTCCAGATACACATGCGCACCAAAGTTTTATGCGTCGCGATGCACCATATCAATTCACATAAGTTTAATTAATCAAATGGCCCTAATTGGCGTATACACCCTATTATCCTACACCGCGCCGCACTGGATCAATTCTTTATTGTGCCGCCGCTCCACATGCGCCAGTTACCTAGTATATATATATATATATATATATATATATATATATATATATATATAATTATTTTCCTAACAAATAATAGGAAAATAAATCCTAATAAATTCCTAAAAATATCAGAAAAATTCCAGAAAATTACAGAACAATTCTAGAAAATAAAGAAACCATAATTAACTCTCTTGGGTCACAAATCCACCTATAGATTGATTTTAAAATATACATAACACCTATATATATCAATTAAAATCCAATAATCTAAAAATCAAATATAATGGTTTATACTTTTTAATTATTCCGATCTAACCATAATTTTTAAACAAATAAATTTAATTAAAGCCTTGATACTCAAGGTGAAATCCTTATGAGTTCTAAGAGGAAAGTTAGAGAAAACCCGCCTGAAGGTTTCGAAACGAAACCGACGCTTTAAGCTTTAATTATCTCTTCCAATTCCGACGTCCTCCTTTTCAGATCCGACCTCCTCCTTGTCAGCCCTTCTTCTTCCTCTCTCTCTGTCTGTTTTATTTTTCTAACGTGTAAAACCTTTAACCCTAAAGCCTTATGTGTATTTTTATACACCTTAAATTCCAAATCCTATTCCAACTAGTATTATGAATTAAAATAATAATCTTTAAATAATTTATATCTATAAATATATATATATATAAATATATATTCCTTCCATAATTAACTCATTAGTTAATTAAATCATATATACTTATAAATATCAATAAATATATATCTATATATATATCTTTCCATAACAATTATTAATTAATTATATTTATATATAATTATATATATATATATATATATATATATATATAATTGATACAAAAGTGATCATTTAAATAAGTAAATAACCACGGACCTTCATTAATTAACCCAATAAGGTTTCATACAAGCCCAAGACCACATCTTTTGGTCCAACTTTCCTTAAGCCCAATCCAATTAATTTAAATAAATAAGATAATTAATTAAATACAGAAATTAAAATAACTAATTACATGAAGCACATAAACAAACAAGAATTTACAACTAAGTCATATAATACCAATAAAATCAACACACCAATAATTCAATCAATAATCAACCACACAAACAATCAATCATCATACATAATCACGAAATATAACTTAATTAAAATAAGATAATTAATCTAGCACTCAATAAAATAAAATAAATCATTGAAAAATAAAATAAAATAATTAATCCTAATTAATAAATCTTTTAAAATTATCGGGGTATTACAGGCCTTACCGAAGCCGAGAGTCCCACTTTCTCAAAAAATTCCCCCCTCCAGGTAAAAATTTTGCCCGGGTAACCAAACCAACCCTAAAAGTAATTTGGTCACTCTATTTTCAGGCTTTGACTTAGATGATAAATACTGAATGCTCTCCTAACTCGACGGCATTCATCATATAAGTCAAAGCTAACCTACCACACTACGGATATCAACTTTTCTCTCAGATACAGTTTTGTCTTTGCTTCATATAAAATAAGCTGTCCATCTCAGGGTATTTTAGTCAATATCATTAAGTTATCAGGAGGGCACAAGCCACAAAAAAAAAAAAAAAAAAAAAAAAAAAAAAAAAAAAACCAAAGTCAATTTTTCTTTAAGAATTGTTTTAAATTTCAAAAATCTAATTTTTGAAAAAATGTTTTGAATGCTTTGATTTTGTTCTAATATATATATATGTATATCATTATTAAGACATAGAATAATTTTAAGTAAACAAAATTTCATAGTTTAAAGTGGTCAAAATGGCCACTTGGTAAATTTCATTCATTTCTTTTAGAATTACCTAAAAGTATTCCTAGCTAGTTACATTTTGAAGTTTTACAAAGATTTGATCTTTCAAAAAGTATGATTAAATTAGTTCAAATTAATTTTTTTTAATAAGTTCAAAACATGTGGGGATTAAAATTTTCAATGAATTTTAGGATTACAGTTTAAGTTTATTTGAAAAAAAGGAAAGAAAAGAAAAAGTAACAAGCAACAAAAGCATTGGCCTAACAAGACCTAAGGGCCCATTTGTAACTGTTTTTGCTTAGTCTTCTTGTTTTTGTAAAGAGTCAAAATATAAAGTATGTTTGATAATATTTATTATTATTTAAAAATATGGAAATGTTTATAAAAAAAAGTTAAAATTAAAAATATAAAATTGATGTTTTTTATTGATTCACTAACAAATACACTGTTTATAAAATAAAAAATTTCTAAAATAATACTCTTGACTGGCCGTTTAAATTTTGAATCTTTCAATACGGAGTATTTTTTTTACCAAAAACTGTTTTGGTATGATTTTGTTTCTAAAAATATTGAAGCAAATTTAGCTTACAAAACAAGGTTATTGAGAAACACTGCTTCAAGTCAAAATAAAAGCTATTGCTAAACAATCAAAAGACTTTTCGAAAAAGTAAAAAGTTGAGATTCTCTCGCTCTAGCATTTTGGATCTATCACAGTGGTTTCAACACTAAACCAACCTTTCTCAACCACAATTCGTCTATTTCTTTGCCTTACTAATTGGTATTTTAATCGAAATTATCCACAAAACCCATCCCCCCACACGATGAGGACAACCCAACTACCGTCTTTAACTCCACCCAATCGTCTCTAGAGGCGTGTGAAAAAATCTCATCAACACACTAATAAAGCGATTTTCTGTTTCAGTACACAAATATCACTTCAATACACAAATATACACACTCAAGCTTTTCATTCTCTCACATCCAAAACATATATGGAACTGTAACGATCTGAAAATGGAAAAACCCAATTCTCAGACAGATTCATTCAACTGGGACTATGTGAGTTCTGATGTAACGGAACTGATTCTCTCTTACCTCCCAATCCGGTCAATTGTTCGTGCCTCTACAGTTTGCAAGCTCTGGCACTCGATCATCACCTCTGTGTCTTTCTCCACTCGCGTCTCCGCCGCGAAAAAGCCCTGGTTTTTCCTCTACGGCCAGAACAACATCTTCTTGAAGAACAACCAAGCCTTCGCTTTCGACCCTGAAGCCGATGAGTGGATCAAATTGCCCACCACTCTCTTTCCCTGGCCCTCTTCCCAGGAAGAGTCCTTCATCGGCTCCGGCGGCTTCTGCTTCATCACCACCTCCTCCACCGCCGCCAAATTCAGCTTCTCGCCTATACTCAAAGCCTCTTGGCGCCAAACCTCACCTCTTCGCTTCTTTAGATGCAACCCTCTTGTGGGTGTCTACACCGATGGGTCTGGCTTGTCTAGGTTCATTGTTGTTGGTGGTGTTAGGTTCATTGGTGGATTAGTCGATATAGAGGACAGATTGGCTGTTGAAATATATAACCCTAATTTCGATTCCTGGGAGCTTTGCCCTCCTTTGCCTGTAGATTTCACATCTGGGAATTCGTCGCAGTGGTTGTCATCTGCATTGTTCAAGGACAAATTCTACGTGTTTGGGATATATTCGTGTTTTGTGTCGTCTTTTGATTTGAATAAGCACTTTTGGAGTGGGGTTCAGACACTCCGCCCTCCAGGGGTGTTGTTTTCGTTCTTGATTTCGTGCCAGGACCAGCTTGTGTTGGCAGGATTGTGCAATGCACCTCCTGGGCCGTCCTTCAATCTGTGGAAGATTGATGAGAAGACAATGGAATTCAGCGAGATAGCAATTATGCCTCAAGAATTGCTTTATTGTCTGATTGATAGCGATGAGGATGATAAATTTGCAAGCTTGAAATGTGTTGGACTGGGTAATGTTATCTATGTGTTTAATGAGGAGCATCATCGGAATTACCCAGCTTGTGCTTGTGAAATTAGCAATGTGTCTGGTAAGTGCAGCTGGAGGAGGGTCCCCAATTTGCCTGTACATGCAAATCGGTTCCATAAGCTCATCAGCTTTTGTTCAACTGTTTCACTTGATAATGTTCTTCGCGGTGAAGTGGAAGAGCTTGGTCCAGAGCAGGCTAGCTATTGATTGGTCAACTTTTCTTCTTGGTATGAATAGACTTTGGAATTTCATTTTCATATGCTTGTATATCTTTATTAATCTTTCATTGTGGGTGCAAGTAAATTGGTGACCACAGTTGTTCCAGGAGAATGATTAAATATGCCATATTGTGTGCAGTAATTAACTTCGGGTGAACAGGTGTTTTTTAAAGTATAATATGTAGTATTGATTTAATCTATGACCATACGCATTATCATCCTAATGTTGATCATAGGCTAATATATTAATTTAAATTATAAGATTCAGCAATAAAATCTGTTGATTGTTTTGTAGCCAGTAATTCAGTTGAGAATGGCCTTTTGGATATATGTAGGCCGGGTTAGTTATTTCTATTGAGTTACATGCCGGCAATGGTTTCTTCAACTAAAATTTGACTTGCTTTTCTAATCCTCCCTTGCTAATATGCTAGGATATGACTTCATTGCACACCCTTTTTGTTAAACATAACCATTTGAGTGTTGTAATTTGTAGTCATTATAATCATGGCTTTATGTTTTTAATGATTTCATTATTGTACCTTTGATCAACTTTTCTTCTTGGTATGAATAGTCTTTGGAATTTCCTTTTCACATGCTGGTATCTTTACTAATCTTTCATTGTGGGTGTAACTAAATTGATGACCACAGTTCTTTCATGAGATTGATTAAAGATACGAAATTGTGTGTGGTAATTAACTTGAGCTGAACATGTGCCTTTTAGAGTATCATATGTAGTATTGGTTTAAGATATTACCATATGCATTATCATCCTCATAATTAGCATGGGCTAATATATTTCTTTAAATGATAAGATTCAGCAATAAAATGTGCTGATTATTTTGTAGCAAGGAACTCAGTTGAGAATGGCCTTTTGGAAATATGTAGGATAACTTATGTGGATGGCTACTTTTAACTTATTGTTTTTGGCCTTTTGGCAGATGGCCAAAAATTTATAAATATGTGGGAGGTATTGATTGAACAATTGTTTCAAGTGGCTTTTGTTATCTGAAAATAGTTTAAATTGTCAAGTCCTGATACTACCAAATTTAATTATCTGTGCTCAAATGAACTTGGATTAGGAGCAAGTTTATGTCAAGTATTTGGATCAGCTACATGATTTCTATTTTTACCTTTCTATTTTACTATCTATTCTGTCCTGATGATAGTTAAGAGAATCGTTGTTCATTTAATGCATTAAATGTTTTCCTTAGTTACAGATATGTAGTCTTTAATGTCTTAATTTATTGATGTTAGGAAGCTAGGTGCATCCACATTTCATCCTTATGGTTACCACCTCATTTCCATGTTTATGTTACATATTTTGTTAGGTGGTAATTGGAGGTGTCCAAGGTTTTATCCATGAATGGAATGTCTCATTAGTAGCCTATGTCTCAAGGAGGCACCTTGAGATGCTCTGCAGGTTACACGGCTGTCATTCTTAAAGCATGAGCCTCAGCCAGCTTTGTCACAAATTGACATCTAATTTCCACTTTAGATGACCTTAAAATCTAATTGGAAAATGAATTAATTATAACATCTGTTGAATGATTGGAATGTGCCTTGAGAGATGGCATCTAAACGCTAAAACCCTTGTGAAGCTTAGACAATCACTCATTGGACTGCTTCTACCAGCTTATAGGTCACAGTGATAAATTGATTCTACCATGACATTGATCAATCTTTGTTTCTTAAATTCTTGCAGAAGAACTTCTTTGAGCCACCTGCTATGTTCAGCTACTCCAAGCCGCAATACTTTCGTTCATATTTTTTTTAACTTTCATTTTCATCTCAATGCTGGGTGCAAGCATGTGAAAAACATTTGACTTTCTTCCCTTTATGTTACAGGAGGAAATAAGATGGTGCTGTAGAACTGGTTTTGCATTTCATTTAGCAGTTTTCTCTAGTCAAACGTTCAATTGTCTGCACTTGAATGTTATAATAGCTATACATAAAATAATGCTATCATAGATAGATAACAAATAGTGGCTCATTGTTTAATCTTAGATTGGTGATCATAACATTTGATTATGCTCTGCTTATTTCACAGGAAAGTTGATGATGGATTTGCAATACTAAAAGCTACTAAACCTATGAGGATCGTCTAAAATCATAAGCTTGTGGTTATGATATGATCAAAATTGGTATGATAAATGCTACTGAAAGAAGGTCCTTCATCTTTGTTTCATGTTTTTAGGCTACAGGGGTTACCAGCTTCATGTTAGGGTGAAGTGATAGAGCACGAGTCAGGCTGCCGTATATGGTGTGTGATGGTAAAAGTCGTGTAAACAACAGGATGTACCTTGACAATTGCTGCAGTAATGATGTTTCAACTGAGAATGTATTATTGATGACGTTTTCAACGAGCCTGTATTATGAATATAAGGACGATAAACATGTGCAGTACACTAGTCAGTAGCGCTTTTGTACGAGAAGTGTAAACAGAGTTGGAATGAATCTCATGTCGTGTTGGGTGTCTCAAATGCATGTGAGCTTGAGCCCATCCGAGCACCATTCCAGTTTTTTTTTTTTTTTTTTTGAAGCACCATTCCAGTTGATTAGGTGTTTTTCCTGTGTCTACCCTATCAAACTTCAAACCATTTAATTATTATATGCTTAGTATTCAAAATCCGTCACCCATTGAGCCTGGATTTCATTGCAATTACCATCTTTAGTGGGATTTCTATTACTCGGTTTCTTTCCACAGGGTTTTCTTTCTAATTTTTTATTGTATGAATGATGGAGATGACCGTGGCGTGTTGAAGTTGAATGACCTTGAATATGCATAATGAACCGATGATATTTCTGGAATTCGAAGCATGAATATAACAAATGTTATGGAAGAGTGATTTAAGACCAAAAATTGGAAGGAAAAAAAAAAATAAAATAAATAAAAAAAAACCTTCTATTCTCGTTGCTTTTCCTAACAGCTAATCTTGTTCACACTCGCAATTATATGGTGATCTCTCAAACTCATTGGAGTCAGTTGGGTAAAAAAATTAGATTAGACGGTTTCTAGTAGCTCTCTCTAGATTGGTCTAAGGGGTTAGACGGTTGAGTTATATTCATATTTATCAAATTTCTAATACATACTTACAACTTTTCGTATACATCATATTTATTATTTAATAAATTTGACTTTTACGTTCACTTGGTTGAAATTTGAATATTTAAAAAAAAAATAATGAAAACTACTCAGGAAACGGACAAAGAACAGAATAAGAACTATATGATACAATACATAATACAAAAAGAACAACTAAAAAAGGAATTCTTATTTTGGTTAAAAGGTAAATTTGTGAATCTTTCTCTTTGATACGAACAATCCTCAGCTTTTGACAAGATTTGGGGCCGAAGAAAAACAAATGATATACCGGGAAGAACAAAATAGCGAAGAAGACTTACGAAAGTTAAAATAATTTTTTTTCTGTTGCAGAAAAGAAGAAGAAGCAAAAAAAGTATTTTAATTTCAGTCAAAATGTAAAGTTGAATTGTACATTAATATACTATGTATAATATATTATATAAAGTATATATTATAGTGTAATGCTAGTATGAGTTCTCCCTCATAAGATTTCTCGTGAACTCTTATCTTTTTTTTTTTCTTTTTTTTCGGTCATGTTTATATATAAATATTGAGACAGTTAAAATTTCATTCAAAAATTCATTAACAATAAATCACACGAGTCGGTCAAAGTTAATAATGTAATTTAGACAAAAAGAAAGAAAAGAAAAAGAATATATAATTCTCGTTTAGTCATTTTTCGAGTACTTGAGTTCATGTGTCAATATTTGTACATAATCGTGACAAAGAAAGAGATTTACTATATATTGTATAATGTAGGTAAGTGGTATTCATACATATGCTGAAACAAAGTGTAACGGAGTAAATTTTTTTCTTGGCTTGCTGATTTGGCGATACTAGATATTGTCAGGGGAGATGATTTGGGGTGGCAATTCGTGTTCGTGGGTATTCTACTAAATAGTAAACTTAAACCCGATCCATTTAATAATCGTGTCAAGAACTCTCAACACTAATCCAATTTGTTTATAAATTAGGTTGACGTGTCTTATTTATCAAAACGAGACATTTAATATTCAATCAAATAATAAATACTAGAAAAAATTTGTCATAATTAACTCAAATATTCAAAATAAGAAGAAAAATTACAAGCTAGTCAAAGTTTTTGTTAAAACAACTTAACTAAATTTAAATATATATCATATTACATATGTCATATTCATAATTATGACATATTAAATTAAATGTGTATAAACACACGCCGACAAATAGTATTATAATTTGCCACCCTAGAGATGACAGTAATTGGAACCCTTAGATGTCCAGGAGAGAGTAACTGGAAATGGGGTTTTTTTTCTTTTTTGAATGGTTAAAAAACTATAGTTCAAAACGTGGCGACGTGTGGTTTGTTAATAATTTGCTGAGGTTTTAGCCCCTCTCTCTCCTCCCTCTGCCAAAAAGGTTTTAGGGTTTTTCTCTCTCTTCCTTTTATTTTAATGTTTTTATTTCTTCTTCTGTTTCGCTCCCTTGACATCAAAAGCAATGGATAGATACCAGAAGGTCGAGAAACCGAAGCCAGAAATACCCATAAACGAGAACGAAATCAGAATCACCTCACAGGGTCTGGTCAGGAACTACATCAGTTATGCTACCAGTCTTCTTCAGGTACTTTTTATTTTTTTGGGTTGTATTTTATTCTTTTATGGGGTTTAGTATTTATTTATTTATGTCGTGATTTGTTTGATTTATTGGGTTGTCGTCATCATTCTCTTTGATTCTATCAATGTATTGTATGATATCTATAGGATGTTCTCTTTGTTGGTTTTTATTAATTTATATAACAATTTTGTGGCATATGTTGAAATTATATAGCATGGATACATTGTATTATACTTTGATTTTTGGGTAACATTTTTTTCTCTCTTTTGTGGGTTTTGATTGATTTATAGGATCATTCTTTGGAAACAGTGATACTGTTGTAAAAGATGATTATACTTCTATTTATGGGATAGGTTGGGTTTAGTATTTATTTATTTATGTCGTGATTTGTTTGATTTCTTGGGTTGTCGTCATCATTCTCTTCGATTCTATCAATGTCTTGTATGACATCCATACGATGTTCTCTTTATTGGTTTTAATTAATTTATATAACAATTTTTTGGCATATGTTGAAATTGTATAGCATAGATACATTGTATTGTACTTTGATTTTTGGGTAACATTTTTTTTCTCTCTTTTGTGGGTTTTGATTGATTTATAGGATCTTTCTTTGGAAACAGTGCTACTGTTGTAAAAGATGATTATACTTCTATTTATGGGATAGGTTTTGCACTTTATTTTGACTTATCTAAAAAAAAAAAAGGTTTTGCACTTTATTTTGATGGGGTTTGGGTGGTGACACCATGAAACTCAATTTAGATTAATTCCGTGTTCAGCTTTGTTAGTTACTGTATTTGGATGACTGATTTATGTGTGTGTGTGATACCAACCAGTTGCCTTGTTTCTTTGTCGAGATTGTTGTTAAATCATTCTCGATTTATCCTCATGTAATTGTTTAGTTTATGGTGTTTCTCTTTTAAGAGGTTTTAGTGAATCTTTTTAGTCATTGATTGACAATTGTGTATATACCATGCACCCTTCTCCCCTTCTGCTTGCTTTTCTATTCTTCTTATATATGCTTTTGTCGTGTTTGTCTTGGTAAATTTTAGAGGTGCAATTCTGAGTAATTGACTCTCTTTGTGGTGTCATTAAGCTTACCATATCTATATATGTGCTAACTAGTTGTCTTAAAATCATTGAGAAAATATATAAGCATGAACAATTCAAAACATGTGAAATAAGACACGCAATTGATCTCTTTTTGACAATCAAAATGAGAAAAGTGATGATGTAGATAAAGATATTATGAAATTAGTACGGATAAGATACTTATTTGTACTGATTCTTTTTCTATTTACTTGTGGGCATTGAGGAGAAACACTACCATGATGTTTGCATTACTTATACCTCACTGATTCCATTTCTATCACAGCCATCACCGGAATCATCAGGACTGAAATGACTTCCTTCACACGACTGCAAAGAGAGAGAGAGTGAAAAAAATGCTACCCAAAAATCAAAGTACTATACAATGTATCTAATATCTATGTTATATAATTTCAACGGATTCCAAGAAATCGTTCTATAAATTAATTAAAAACCATCAAAGAGAAAAGCGTGTAGTACTAAAGAAATTTATAGATGGAATGAAAGGGAAGAGAGGAGGGGAAACCTTTCCCTCACAGCTTGTCATATTATTTCATCCCAAAAGTGAATGGAAAGGAAGAAAGGGCTGTCCCTATTGTTCTTTTTATGTTGTTTTTCCTCAGCATATTTGTAAATTCACTCAAATCCTTTTATTGTCCTTTTCTTTGTGCTCCACCAATCAGAATGGAAGGAAAGGCTCCTTCCTTTCCCTCAGATAGCTCTTCCACCCCTTCTACCCTCCAAACCGAATCTTCAAGCTGGGGGGGGGGGGGGGGGGGGGGGGTTGTGGTGCTTTCAGAATGAATGTGAAAGCACTCCAACATATACAAGTAGACATGATCCAATGATTGGTCTTGTGAATGAAAACTCAATCGTAGCTGATCGATCAATTCCCATGAGCGTGTGAGGCATCAAATCCTATGAAATCATGAACCAAGAATATGGTATGAAAGTGCTTCAACCAAATTGTGAAAGAAGTGGCCCGAAACGTCTAGTAGTTCTAGTTTTGGGGCTACGAAGGCACATCTTGTTGAAGATGCTGGATGGTCGTCTAAGCTGGATGCTGGGGGGGGAGCGCTCACTCCAACATATACAAGTAGACATGATCCAATGATTGGTCTTGCGAATGAAAACTCAATCGTAGCTGATCGATCAATTCCCATGAACGTGTGAGGCATCAAATCCTATGAAATCATGAACCAAGAATATGGTATGAAAGTGCTTCAACCAAATTGTGAAAGAAGTGGCCCGAAACATCCGGTAGTTCTAGTTTTGGGGCTACGAAGGCACATCTTGTTGAAGATGCTGGATGGTCGTGTAAGCTGGATACTAAATATGGCGAGTCTTTTCTCGAAGGCTTCATAAGGGACATTTTGATCATGCCTGAATGGCGGGGGGGGGGGGGGGGGGGGGGGGGGGGGGAGACTGGCAAATTGATCCACATTCCTTCCCTTGTGTGCCAACACGCTCTTGTCAGGTAAACATTCTCTGAGTGGAGCGGGATATAACTGGAACACTTGTGCTCTATCTTACCTGTTCAATCCGTACCAGAGGGAATTGATGGTGGTAAGTCGGGATGGCGTGGCCTAAAGTCAAGGCTCTAAGACCATTTTATTAATATGCTCACCAATAGAATGGAGAATCTTCCAGCGCCAATAACCATTTCATATAAGATCAGCAACTTTAGCATGAAGATGGGCCCCTAATTTTGAATGAAGTCTAACCCTTTCACCATGTCCATAGGCCCACTAGTGTCTTTCTTTGGGAGGAGAATGTTCGAATTCCAAAACGAACTTCGACTTGCGTGTGTTTAAGCATTTAGCTCCTTGAAAAAAGAATACCCATTACGACCGAACTCCACACATGACTCTCATTGATAAACCGTTGGGGGGGAAGGGCCTACGTTTCCAGCTTGGGTGATTTCCCATAGGATAGTTCGCGAACAGTATAAACAGACCCTTTTTGCCCTAATTCAAAGTAAGAAAAGCAATAGCTATTTCATTGTAAATTATCCTTTTCATGCCTAAATTGCCCTCAAGAATATGCATGCTATTCTCTCCCTATCCTAAAAAATTGATTTCACAGATAAGTCACACAATTTTTTTTTCCTATATACTGTTAATGCACCTACCCTCCTTCCAACTAGTAAGGCCTCAACTTGATCATTGATCTAATCATTGAAGCTTCTGCTTAATTTCTATTTTTTTTTTTTGTAGACTGTTGGTAGGCTATTATGTAGAATTATGTGCTTATTATTGAAAATTTGTTTTGTCAACGTTTTGGCTTGATGAGTATAATATGAATTTTTCCAAAATCTGATGAATTTCAACTAGGTTTTTCCCCATATTATTGCTGTGTTCCAGAAACATGTTGATTTGACAATTATTTAAGTTGATTTAAGGAAAGAAGGGAATGAGAATAACCTACACTTGAATCGGTGTTTCCTCAAAGGTGTTTTTACTTAATGAATGATTAAGTTGTCTATAGGAATATAACTTGTAAGATTATTTCAACTTTCTTCTTTACTTGCTTCTTGAGATATGGTTGTTTCTGGCATTGGAACTCTGACATGTGAATGCTTCAACTGATGCTTCCTTGTGTTTTTCTCCTTTCCCATGATTGTATCATTTAGCCTCTACATTTGAAAGTGAGGAAGCAGATGCCTACAGATTCTGAACACTACTTAAATCAAGGAAATAGATTGATCTTGAATTCATAAACTAATGGTTCATTGCTTGTACTAAATGCATATAGTACTTGATTATGAATATTTGCAAAATAATTAAATGTTCAAAATTTACATGATTATGGCTTATAGTCATTGCACAGTTGAAATGGTATTTAATTTTGTTAATTCATGTTTGTACTGAAATGATATGTGGGTATTAATTTACTTTTTTAGTTAATATGCAAAATATTCCATTTTAAAAATATTTTTTTTACTTTTTTTTTTTATTTTTCCTTCAACTGTACATTGAATCATTGATTTACTTTGTTCATAAAAAAATTGAAATGATATATTTACATTGATTTAGCTAATCCGTTGAACTGAGATGTTGAAGAATTCCTGCATTTTATGTTGACTAGTTTTTGTTGAATGTTTTATTTTCACCCATATTTATTATACATTTATATCACATACCTTTAGAAGATCTTGGTAGTTGGTGCTTAATGCCTTGAGCCTTTAACAACTTTGCTAAGGAGTATCACCTGGTGGCAATAGTCGCCTACAAACTGATACGGTTTGTACAATGTGAGTCAGCTCCGGTGATTGTTTCATCAAATGTTACTTCAAGGATCCACTTTAACAACTTTGCTAAGGAGTATCACCTGTTGGCAATGTCACCTACAAACTGATACGGTTTGCACAATGTGAGTCAGCTCCAGTGATTGTTTCATCAAATGTTACTTCAAGGATCCAGCTAAATGAATAGCGCCTTTAGATGTTTTTCCCCCTCTTTTTTAATTTTCTATTTTATTTTTATTTTTTGTATTATCTGAATATTATGCCTAGGTTTATTTTATTTTATTTTAAATTTAGTAAATATATATATGGATTTTTATATGAATATTTTGTGTTTGTGTTTCTGGGGTGTGGCTATATTTTGTTTTGTGTTTCTGTTGTGTTGCTATATTACGTGTTTGTGTTTCTGGTGTGTTGCTATATTTTGTGTTTGTGGTTCTGGTGTGCTGCTTTATATTTGTCAGGAACATATGTTAGATATATATTTATATAATCAAATTTATGATCCTTTTTTTAGGAGAAACTTGGAAGAGAGATAGTCTTGAAAGCAATGGGACAGGCAATAAGCAAGACAGTTGCCATTGCAGAGATTATAAAGGTTGGACATCCTTTTCATTTCCTCCCTTTTTAACTTTTGGATGGTTCATGTGCAAAAGTAGCTCAATGTTTTTATCATGATTTCTGAAACAGAGGAGAATCCCCCAGTTGCATCAAGATACAGCCATTACTTCAGTGAGTATAACTGATGTATGGGAACCCATTGAGGAGGGCCTTTTGCCGTAAGCTTCTAGTCTTGTTTACCACCTCCAACTTAATGCTTATACAGAACTGTCTTCTAATCCTTGGATATTATTGTCTGCTACAGTGTGGAACAGACTCGCCATGTCTCAATGATTTCTATCACCTTGTCGACAGAGGAGCTAAACAAGAACTCACCAGGGTATATTTCCTGTCATCTAAATTGTGTTTTAAGATGCTATTTAGGAAGCCAAGAAATGAGACCATTCGGAGACAAAGTCACTGCTCTATTAATGCAGAAAAGATTGCCTTCAATAAACTTTGGATGTCCCTGAGTAACGACTGCCTTTTGTGAACCTTCAAGTCGATTTCTGTTGTACTCTCCTGCAGAATTATTGTGACTATCGGCCCTAATTCATTGTTTCGCAAGAATCTATGCCAAAAATGTGTTAAATGTCCGACCACCGAGAGTGCTTTTGGGCATGTTCTTTTCGGTCCTAATTGGAATTTTTTCCCATAGGTACCAAGCTCCATCTTATCCGGAGCAAACAAAGCCACAGTACTATTATAAACAACAGCAACAACCAAGACAAGCACGTGCTCCTTATAATGCCGTTAATGAAGGTGATGTCTGCAAGGAGGAAAATGAAACTGATTGTTGAACTTATATTTATTGTTTTTACTAACACATGTTGCGTTTAAACTTAAGATTCATATGGCCGAGGCCATGGCCGTGGCCGGGGCAGAGGGAGAGGACGGGGCTGGAACAGGGGTGGATATAATAACTATCAAGGTGTTAGTTCTAAGACTGCATTTTGTCATGCAAACGATTAATTCCATTTTCATGTATAACTCTAATAGCATCCCTGATTTTTTTCTGTTTCTTTTTTGACAGAAAATAATGGGTATTCTAACTGGGGCCGAGGTGGTGGGCGTGGCAGAGGTTGGGGCTATCGTGGTTAGTATGCTTTGTTATCTAGATACTCAAATAAATTTTCTTGTTTGACATTTACCGTGGGAACCTTGAAGTTTGTCTCAATTTTTAGGATATTTGTGAACTTGGATAATTCAGGAAGTACATATAGATATTCGCACCAGGCATTTCATATGTGCATATTCTTGTTTTTATTGTGTGATTGATTTCGCAATTAGCAATGATGCCACCCGTGCATGTTTAGATAAATATTCGGTTTAATTGAAAATTATGATCACCTACTTTTTTGATAGGTGCTGGATATGGAGGTGACAGAGGTGGAGGCAGAGGTTATAGCCGTGGCCGTGGACGGATGGGTGGCCGTCCAAGGGGTGGTGGCAACCAGGTTTAACAGTGGATTGGTTTTCTTGCCTGCTCTAGCTAAATGATTGCTGCAGATTGGTTTGGTTTTCGTGCCTGCTCTAGCTAAATGATTGTCTTGGCCTACTGGTTTTATAAATTGAAGTCTGTTTTGGAAAGCATGAAATTGTGGGCAAGCTTATGTATAGTTTGTTGCTTTTATTTAGCCGAAGAAGTAGCCAATTTTTTTATTGCCCTGTTATTTGTTTCATTCTTGTGGTCCCAATTACCTTTTATTGTATTTATCCTAAAATTTCAATTTTTGATGTTGTGGGGCCTTTTTTTTTTTTTTTTTTTTTTTCCTCTCTTTAAATAGCTTTCTACATTTTTTTGGATTGCCATTTCTTATGGATTTTCATCTAGTTATGCTGAAATTTTGGATTGTGCAAAACTGCATATGCAATTTCTCCGTCTGTTGTGGAAGCAACCAGACTCGACTTTAATCTAAATCTTTGTCAAACAACGAAAAATAAATAAATAAATAAATATATATATATATATATATATATATATATATATATTTGTACTTTACAGCAGTATTAAAATCCTAATAGTAAATTATTTTTTTCATAAATGAAGAGTTGAGAATTTGAGTAGGTATCAAAATCCTATTGTAGTTAAAAAAAAAAAAATTTAAAATTTATAATATTATTTGATTAATTTTTTTTATTAAAAATGAAATAAAGAATTAAAAAATCTATATGAGTACGTATATGTATTTTTATAAATTTATTGGAACGGGTTTATTGTATCACGCGTCTCGATTTCTATTATTCCTAAACTTGTGGCTAACACAATTAAGATCCATCGAATCGGGTCCCAGTAAGAAAGGGTTGATTTATTTTATTTTTTCGATGTGAAGAGTCTTTTCAAGCTTTTCGTTTATTTAAAGTAAAAAATAAAAATTGGTTGGTTGTAGGCCAATTGACAGGCTTACTGGGTCGGACAAGCTTGGCATGTAAGACCAGGCCTGGCCCATTAATTTTGGGTCATCCTGTGTAAAAGCAAGATGCTGCCAAGCCTAGGCAAAATTGTGGGCATTGTACTTTTTTTTCCCTTGCCCATGCTTAATGTGAGATCTTGAATTTCCAACCTAAAATTTTATTCATGAATTTTCAAAAAAATATTTTTCTATTAATTGATGTGACAATTATTGAGATAAAAATTTAAAATTAGAATTATGTTTTTATTAAAGTCCTTATTGAATTATTTATTGAAATCGCAAAAAAGGAAAACGATTAATTTTTTATAATCACAATCTGGATTTAGTCGCGTGGTATCGGTGTGAGCCTTGTGAGTTGTGAATATGGGCGGCTCTAGCAATTTAGTCATTTGCCTGGCCCCACATGAAAAGAAAGCCCCAATCAAAGTGCATATTGTACTTATAGTTATGGTAGGTTATCTTTGTAATTTAATATTCTCCATATCATTCATGTTTTTTTCAAAAATATATTTTTAATATTTATTCTAAGCAGAAAAAACTATTAAAAATGAAAATTAACTGGTGCAATAGAATGAGGTGTGTATGTGTTTCATGTTAGTTACTTTTTAAGTAGGGAGCTAGTTGTAGACTCCAAGAAAACAAAGTTAGAGATGCATGCATTGTATGAAAGAAGAGAGAATAATTGAAAAGGAAAAGATGTTCCAATAAAAAAAGGTTTTGATATAATTATAAATAGGGGTTGGTTAAGATATATGAAAAGATATGTATATAAAATTAAAATAATAAAAAATAAGGGATAAAATCTAAGGTTTTTGATAAGATTGTGGTTTTGAGTTGGGGTGGTTGTTCCACTAGGACCTTAGTGGTTCTGCCCTGTTTGACGGACCTTATTAGTTTCGCTTTACTTGACATTACCGTCTTTTTTTAATTGACAATATTAAAACATAACTTAAACTAATACCAAACTCAACATTCGTTGCTTGAATTTTTTTTCTAAAATTCTTAGTTATTTCGTCAATAAAATTGTCATATCTTAGAAATTCATTGATAATTTTGGTAAAATACTAAAATTCCCGTCTTAGACATCAAGTTATAATGAGCTAGTCCTGCGAGGAAAGTTATATTGATTTGACTAATTTATATTTTGATTAATTTGACTATGACTCTTACTTTTCAAATCTAATTTTTTCAAAATCAAAAATTATTTTTCCAACTGAACATGACTGCTTTTACATAGCACTTCTTTTACTTTTCCCCCTCTAATTTCTATGACGTTATAGTATACCGGATAGGGGGACCCATTGAATGTAGCCAATTTAACGGCCAAGTTCACTTGTACACATACAAATGTTTTTTTTTTTTTGGAAAGTTTACACATACAAATGTTGTTAAGCATGCACTAATATGTCGGTTTATGTATAATAATGTATACATATGTAACATATGAATAGATTTTTTGCTATGAGCAGCGAAGTGTACCGTGTGCATGCCTGGCTTCTATATTTGGAACCACTCGAAAACTGCGAAACATGTTTGGCTGGAAATAATTATTTACACCTAATTTTTCTTACCTTCCCCTCCCGATGGACTGTATCTGAGGTATATATAACTAAACTACACCAGCTAAATCTCCACCGCCAGTTTCAATCATATCACTCAAAAGTTGTGATATTGGAGATAAAGGTGTTTAAATCAGACGATTCCAAGGTGGTTAGTCAGGTTTTTAGTTGGGACCTACAAAAGCTTAGCTGTGATTGTTACGTAAGACCAATGGGAAGGACACGGTGGACACAAGGAAACAGTCATTCGTTTGGGTATGAGTCGCAGGCCAACACGTGTTCAAAAAGGAACGTGTCAGAGCTTTTGGTTTTGATTTGCGTTAGCGTAAACCAAGATTATGGAATCTGGACGACATGTATGTCCAGATTCAGTTTTTCCACTCTCTCATTCTATATATTAGCCCCATTCTCCGTGTCTCTCTTCCACCCTCAATTCGTGGTAATCCACCTATAGATATAACTTCTCACTGCAGCCTATTGTTATTCTGAACAAAGTGTAAAGAGAGAAGAGAAAGTGTAGAGAGAGAAAAAGTGCACACAGAGAGAGAGAGAGAGAGAGAAAGAGAGAGAGAGAATGGAAGGAATTAGTTCAATGAAGAGTTCTAGGAAAAAGGAAAAAGATCTATTTCACGTAATTCACAAAGTTCCTTCTGGCGATGGTCCTTATGTTCGAGCTAAACATGCTCAGGTGTGCCTCTCTCTCTCCAAAATTATCACTATTAGAGCAATTAATATCTTGTTTTGGTGAATACATATATATAATCATCTCATATATTATGAATTTCACAATTTAAATCTTGAAGTATGTAAAACAATTGATTTATTCAACACCTATTTAAAAACACTGATTTTTTTTTTTTTTGGGAGGCTTTTTTTGAACTTTTTGATGCGTTTCGTCGCATTCCCCTTCCTGTGTCTAGGAATTCCCTTCCCTGTACCATACTCATTTCAACCTTGAAGCTCACTTATTTTTAAGGAGCCTAAAATATTCCTTAATAGAATGATATTATAAATGTTCATAATAATAAATCATGCGTGTACAACTGTCAAATTTAAAAAATTGAGTGCTATAACATAATTTTATGTATAATTTTATAGTGAAGTTCACGAGTTAGAATTTGAAGAACCAACACAAATCACAAAGTAAACCATTAAAACTCAAATCTTCTGGTTGATTCTATCACAAAGGTCAACACGTCTCAGATCTCCATATCTCCATATTGATTCTACCATAAAACTCAACTATAGTAAAAACACCCTGTTGATGAATAAACCATCACACCTCATATCTCCAAATTTATTGATTCTAACATAATGGTTAAATGATATTATAAATGTTCATAATAATAAAACATGCATGTAGAATAGCCAAATTTAAAAATTTGAGTGCTATAACATAATTTTATATCAGTTAAGTTCACGAATTGAAACTTGAAGAACCAACATAAGTCTTAAAGTAAATCATTGAAATTCAAATCTTCAAATTGATTCTATCATAAAAGTCAACATGTCTCAAATCTCTATATTAATTCTATCATAAAGCTCAACTATAACAAAAAAAACACCCTATTGCTGAATAAACCATCACACGCTCCAAATTAATTAATTCTACCATAAGGGTCAAATGATTACCGATTACCCTACTTACAATTTTCATCCTAGAGATCTCCAAAACCAACTCTTTTAAAATTTTCACTAAGTGAAATGAAATTCCATTATTGTAGTTAGAGAAACCGGAAACTTTTCTCTTTTTCGCCATACATTGCTTGTAAGAATGACCAATTGACTTTTACTTATTTGAAAAATAGAATAAAACGATTGATTATAATTTTCTAGTTTATTGACCCTTTTTCGGTCAGCTATTGCAGAGGGTTCAATTTAAATTGTTTAACATAAAATATTAAATACAAACATTATACTCCTATCCATTTTTTGTTGAATTAAGAAGTCATTACCACATAATATATGAAGCAACATCTCGACCTATTAAAGAAATTCTCCATTCATTTGCTTCTGGAAGAATGTTCAAGACGCGGTATGTTCCAGGGTTGTTGACTCACCTTTCTTTTCTTTTTTTTTTTTTTTTTTTTTTTTTATGGATGTATAAATTAAATAAATTATTTTTTTTTGGTAAATAACAAATTATTTTCTATATTATTCTTAAACTCCTTGTTTTTTTTTTTTTCTTTTTTTTTTTTTTTTTTGGAGATTTATGAACTTTAAATAAAAAAGGAATCAAGACCAGATCCTTTCAAAGCAAATCTTTAATATATATATATATACAGCGTCAGGCATATATGCGAATGCTGATACAGTCAACATTTTCTAGTTCAAGAGACCCAGACTTGAAAATAGAGGATATAAATGTAATTTGATTTTTGGGTGGTACTCCATCGTCTACAGAGAATACGGCTGTGAAATCACAAGCTTAATCACCCATTAATCTGCACCTTTCATTTTGTGGTTGCCGTACTATTCCTAACATTATTTTGCTTTATTGTGGGCCCAACTACTCCATCAATTCACGGGACTTATATATATATTTTCTTCTGAGAAATGCATAATTGCCTCTTTCATTCAAAATTTGCGTTATATTTTGGACCTATCCATTATTATCCCATCTTTTTTCTACTGGCTCCCACAATTCTTATCCTATGATTCCCATCTTCTTCTTCTTCTTATACATGCTACTTTTTTTTTATTAAAAAAAGGTGAATTATATGCCAATTTTGGAATCCAAATTGTTATTCATGTAATCGCTCTCCTTATACATGTAACATATCTACTTTAATTAATTTCAATTATGACTTAAATCTTCAACTCTTTTTTAAAAGGTGCAAAAAATGTGACCCGCTATAGTTTAATTAATTAAAAATTCATAAAAATGGGACCAATTACACCTACTTGCAACATATATAACATATACTCGATTTTATTACATCATTGTGATATGCCATTCTCAACCGTTAATATTATATAGACAACTTTAAATGAATGAGGGTATGACACTATTATACTTATTCTTGCAAACAACTCTAGGTCCCTAGGACTATCTTAATTACCCATCAAACCCAAAATGATAGATTGATATATGTTGTACATTTAAAATAATAATAATAATAATAATAATTGATACTAAGGGATTAGCTTAATCTTATGTAATGAAGTATTCTTCAATCTTAAGGGATTGGCTCCAGTGGTGCTAGAACTATTAGAGGCCATGACTGCGGACATAATTTGAGTTTTACCCGATTTGTGTGGAGGGATTACTTTGCATGAGTTCCGTAAATTAGTCGAGGCGAAACCCCCCGACACCCCAGATATCGAAAAAAAATAAGAATATCTCACTAGTAAACATTGAGAAACCATTATATAGCATATAACTTGGTGTTTTTTTTTGTTTTTGTTTTTTTCAACTATAAATAGATTCCAAATAAGTGATTCTAGCACCGCGTACCCTCATATATCAGTTAATATTTTTTCTATTTTTTTAAAATAATAATAAATAAATTGCTTGTGATCATGAATTCAGCTAGTTCAGAAGGATCCAGAAGCAGCAATAGTACTGTTTTGGAAGGCTATAAATGCGGGAGATAGAGTGGATAGTGCCCTAAAGGACATGGCAGTTGTAATGAAGCAATTGGATAGAACTGAAGAGGCCATTGAAGCCATCAAGTCTTTTAGGGTTCTTTGTTCCAAACAAGCCCAGGAATCACTTGATAATGTCCTCATCGACTTATACAAGGTATATATGGACTATACATTCGTATTTCCTTAATTAGCTATACGTAATATCATATGCAAAGATATGTGTGTGTGTGTGTGTGTAGGCATTAATTACACTAACATATAATATTTTAATTTGTAGAAATGCGGCAAAGTAGATGAACAAATAGCATTGCTAAAGCAGAAGCTTAGGTTGATCTACCAAGGAGAGGTCTTCAATGGAAAACCCACAAAAACTGCACGCTCTCATGGCAAGAAGTTTCAAGTTTCCGTCAAACAAGAAACTTCACGAATATTGGTACGTATATATGTATTTGTTTACACAGACCATTTTTATCTTTGTTTATTCTCGTGCACTGAATTTATCATTTTTTATTTATCACAATACAAAATAATAATAATAATGATAATAATTTAGAACTCATTGATGGTAAAATTTTGGGTTAGCACATCATAGGATGTCAACACAATTATTACAACTTTTAAGTTTATAATAATAATCTTACCACATAAGATTTCAACATCTACTCTCAATTTCATTATATGGTCACATGCAAAAAAAAATTTGGGGGAAAAAACGGTCCCAAATGGTCAATTCAACATGAAGATATCATTCAGATGGTATAGATCCTTTATAGACATGACTTTTGCTTCTGATGTACATTTTTTCTCCTTTTTTTTTTTTTTTTTCTTTTTTAACCAACCACAAAACTTTGACCTAATTTCAGAGTTAAGACCTCAAACTATTAGGATAAAGTAAAATCAATAAATATAAATTGAGAATATAATGCATACAACACCCAAGAATATAACACTATAAGAAAGTAATAATATTATATTTATTGCATTCTCAAGTAATAAGATTAGAATGTATTGTATTGTCATGTAAAGAATGTCACATACAACAAAGTTTAGTTAAAACACTTATAAAGGGGAGGACATATCCGAATTTACTTTAGATATCAACGAAAACCAGAGGCACTGATTCTCTTATTTTCACCGAACCTCTCTCATTTTCACCGAATTGAAGTTGGTTTAGATCATCCTAATCTCAGTGGATACATACACACATTTTATAGTTTTTGGATTTATTTATATGAGTTGAAGTTATCAACAGATAGATTCATTAGTTTTTGGACTCATTTATAGATTCATTAGGTTTTGGACTTATTTAAAGATTCATTGATTTTTGGACTTATTTAAAGATTAGTCAATGTCATCACCCGATTGTTTCATTTGTGATCCTAAAATATATATACTAACAATTATTTTATTATATTTTGGTCACATCTATGATAATGGAGTATAAAATTATACATTGCCTACCATACAACGTGTCAAATCGTGATCATCAAAATCATATAATTCCGAATTATATAAAAATTTCTTTACCACGTCAGTTGCTTGAATGTATTGTTATCTCAACAAGTTCGTCTTGTAAACATTGCAGGGGAATTTGGGCTGGGCCTATATGCAAAAAACGAACTACATGGCCGCGGAGGTGGTGTACCGGAAAGCCCAAATGATCGACCCAGATGCCAACAAGGCTTGTAACTTGGGCCTGTGTCTGATAAAGCAAGCCCGGTATGACGAGGGCCGATCAGTTCTTGAAGATGTATTGCAAGGTAGACTTCCAGGTTCTGATGATTTGAAATCCAGAATTCGGGCAGAGGAATTGTTACTAGAAGTTGAATCCCGGCAGCCTCCGAATGAAGTGTCAAATTTTATCGGGCTTAATCTTGAAGATGATTTTGTTGATGGGCTTGAAAAGCTGATGAGTGTATGGGCCCCATTGAGATCCAAAAGGCTTCCAATTTTTGAAGAGCTCTCTCCATTTAGAGATCAGTTGGCCTGTTAGAGTTTTGAATTTTTTTCTTTGTAAAAATAAATAATATAGTATGTAAAATGCTTGTAGTATAAAAATATATTAGGTTGGTTTTTTTTTTTCTTCAGATTGCAATGGTTCAAAACTTAATTTATACCCAGAAGAATCTCAATAAAACAAAATGAAACTTTTACTTTTCATATTTTATTTTTTCAAAATCATATTTTTATTTTTCCAAGTGAACATGCCTTCTACACATATTCACACCGTCGACTGAGTCTCTTGAGCTATCCATAATTCATATCACTTCTCTTACTCTTTCTTTCTCTAATTTGATTTATATGTTCTAATAGTATACCAAGAGCACTGCAACACTCGACAATCATATATATATACATTTTTTTGGCTATTTCAATTACGAGTGCCTAACAAGAATTATTAATTAGGGTGAAATACCTCGACTTCTTCTAAGGTTTATTCAAATATTTTCCCTGAAATTATTGTCAAAGTAACCCTTAACCTCCTTTTGTCCAAATACTCCATATCTCTTGGCTGAAACTATTGTCAAAATAGCCTCCAACCTCTCCTGAGATTTGTCAAGAATAACCCGACACCGCTTGAGGTCTGTCCAAATTTCTCTGAACAACCATAACCTTAATCAATATAATATTTTCTAAATGTCCTTAAACAACTTGAAAGTGAGAGAAAATGACTCAAATGACCGTTTCAACCGAATTTAATTGGACAAAACTACCATTTCTTATATCTTCCCCTTTGGACTGTTTTTGTAGGCAATTGAAGATTTTTTTTTTTTTTTTGATCAAGTGGTTTGTTGATGAACAGTGATGAATTATTATTATTAACCAATGTCTATTTTGTTGAATTATATAAATTATTTATTAAATAATTTGTTTTGACAGTAAATATGTTGAATCATATGCTGAAATGGTTATTTGGTAACAATGTCATTTAAGCTACTTTCTCTTAATTAGTGATAGTTTAAGCATTTATAAAATAAAATAAAAAATTCTATTGATAGACTTGAGTCCGACTAACGTCAGGGTGGTCGATCAGAGAAATTTGGACAAACCTTAAGGGGATATCAAAGGTTATCAGGCTCTTACTTCTTAAAAGAAGATTAATGATTCAAGTCTCAATAGAAACATGTGTGTATGAGTACTAACTAAAAAAAATAAAATTTGGAGGTTGGGGTATTTCACCCTATTAATTAATAATGCATGATATTGATAGTCTTACGTGCCGAAGCTAGCTTGTCCAAGTAAGCATGTCAATGGGCCTGCGACCGGCCAATTTTTATTTTTACTTTAAACAAAGGAAAAGCTTGAAAAGACTTTTCACATTGAATAAAGGAAAACTCCCTCGTCCCAACTTGTTGTAGTGCAAAGGCTACACTTATTTGGGACGGAGGGAGTAGTATCCGTTCCAATAAATTATAAAAATATATATACGTACTTATATACTCCTTCCGTCTTATAAAAAATGTCATGTTTGGAAAATCGTGAATCACAGAGGGAATATATTTTTAAATTTTTTATTTTCCTTTTTATAAAAAAATTAATCAAATTATATTATAAATTTTTAATAAAAAAATTCAGTAACTCTTTGAAATTTTCAACAATAGGATTTTGATACCTCTTGAAATTCTCAACTCTTTATTTGTGAAAAAATAATTGACTATTAGGATTTTAATAACGCTGTTGTTGTATTATTGTTTTATTTACCAAAAAAAAGAAGAAAAAGAAAGAAACTGAATATTGTTTACGTTCCTTTCTTCCCATTGGTCTTACGTAACAATCAAAGCTATGTTACTAGTAATATACATACATTATTACACTAAATTAAGCTAATATTTTGTTTTTGTTAGTATGCGCTCGAATGTATACATTATTGTTATAGTATCTGTTTTTTGTTTTAACCACGGAACATCCCTAAGGCAAGGTCTTTTGGACCCACCTCTAGAAGATAAATCACATGGACACTAGCGAGACATGAACACCAGTCTAAGGTAAGTGGCAATAATTTAGGAAGAGTGTTGTCTTTAATGTGCCTTCGAGAATCAAACTAAGGACAGCATCTTTTAGCGTATCTATCTCACGCCTCTACTCCACTAAACCAATCCGTGCAGGTCAATATTCTCGTTATGTTACTAGCATATTTTTGTTAGTGTATGCATTATTATTGTTATGTTATGTTACTAGCATATTTTTGTTAGTGTATGCATTATTATTGTTATGTTGTTACAACCATATTTTTATAAACTAAAAATGCATGTTGGTTCAGGACTCAGCCGGGAGGGGAGGTAAGAAAAAGTAGGTGCATGTGAATGTGTGTGTGTTTTGCAGTACTTTTGGACTACTTCTAAACTTAGAGCCAAGAGTAAAAATATATTTATCATTTAATGTACTACATATATGTTAATTGTTCCCTGGTTATTAGCATTTGTATTTGTATAAGTAAATCTAGACATTAAATTAACTAAATATTCAATTGGTTCCACTTCCTTAAAAATAAGGAAAATTATAAAAGTTCCAAATTTATATTTTTACATAGTGATGGGTTCATGGTTGATTTAAACACCCTGGCCCATCAATTTTGGGTCATACTGTGTAAAAGGAAGATGCTGCCAAGCCTGGCCCATTACTTTTTTTCCCCTTGCCCATGCTTAATGTGAGATCTTGAATTTCCAACCTAAAATTTTATTAATTGATGGCCCGTTTTTCTATTAATTGATGTGATAATTATTAAAATAAATATTTAAAATTAGAAAGCCTAAGTGCAAAAAACATCCCTCTTATATTCAAATGATTCAAAAAAACCACATAATGTTTTGTTTGGTGCACAAAACCCCCTACTATTTGCTTTGGTGCAAATTGGCCCCTAATAATTCATTTTGACCAACTCTTTTTTATGAAAATCTCAAAACTGCCCTTTCCATCATTGACCACCAAAGAATCACTTCATTGCCGATCACCAACCACCAGTCACTCCACCGACAGCCCACCACAACCACCTAGCTTGTATGTGTGTCTGTGTGTGAAACAAGCAAATGAAATAACAGTAAAATTATTCAGGAACTGCTCATCTCGTCCCTAGTTATGCATTTCACTACTCTTCTGAAATTGTCACGGAATTATTATAATAATTTATTCTCATTTTTTATTCGACACAAGTTCGCTTGCCCACGTATTACATTGTAGATAATTTTCAAAACACAATAAGAACAATACCAAGCCTAGAACAGACATAGAGATTGGATTTAAATTGATAAAAAAGAGATAAAAAATGAGTAGAATTATCCATAAACACTCCAAATCCAGAGAAAAATAGATCAATTTCAGATTGGAAAAAGAAAGGGTGATAAATTCGACGAGTTAGTTGTAATATTTTCGGCGCTGCTCTTCGTGGAACTCCATTTTCACGATTCTGAAGAAACTGAAGCGAATCTCCCAATCACAAAGGCGTAGAGAGAGAGAGAGAGTGTGTGTGTGTTTTTCGAGATTTCTGATGAATTTTTCGCAGTGAAGTTGGAGGGCTTTTCCAAACGGAGAGGGTGTGATGAGTTGCGTGATCTGAGAAGAGATGCAGAAATAAAATAGGCGGGAAAAAGAATGTGAGGTTCTCTGAATCGAAACCAGGGAGTGATCGGTGGTTGGTGATCGGCAACGGGGTGATTCTTTGGTGGTCAATGATGCAAAAGAGCAGTTTTAAGATTTCATAAAAAGAGTTGGTCAAAATGAATTATTAGGGGCCAATTTGCACCAAATTAAACACAAGGTCCGGTTGGTTAGATAGAAATTTTTGATGAAAAGTGAAAGTGAAAGTGAAAGAAAATAAAGGAAATAAAAAGAAAATCAAGTTTTTATTATGTATTTGGTTAGCAAGAAGTTATGAGAAAATATTATTTTGTGAGTTTGGAAAGGATTAAAGTGAAAAGAAAATGATTGTAATTTTCAAAACTACCATTTTAATAAGATTACTTTGTACTTCTTGAGGTACTATCATATTTCCATAATTATGAACAAAATTAAAATTTTAAGTTCAAACATAAATTAATGGACATTATAGTATTTGTATTCATGTTTAATGATTAGATATATGTAATTATAAATACAAGTTTAATTAATAAAAAATTTTGATCTGAAAATTCTTGAGGATAAAAGGTTGAAGTTAATATATATACTTTTAGTCAAAAAAAAAAAAAAAAAAAAAAAAACTTCAGTCTAATAGAAATAAAATACAATATACGTAGAGTTAAAACTAAATTAATTTGGTATATCTAATATAGAGTTAAAATTAAATGAGTTTGATACATTTCACTAATTGAGTCATAAAGTCATGAGAAGTCTATGTATAAAAATATAGATATATATGAATTAAATTATAATAAAAAAAAACTTGTATATGTAAAGACACTGACTTGGTTTTTTTACCCAAAGCTTTGTTACTAAATACTCAGATTCATATATATATATCACTCTCAATCATTATTAATTGTGGAAGGAAAAAAATAAAATAAGATAAAATTTTAATTTTGATATAAAACTATATACAATTAAATTAGTGTTTACATGATTTTATAAGCAATTTACAAAAGAATAAAACTCACTTCACTTGTTATAGAAGTTTGTGGAGGAAGTGAGGGGGGTGACATGGACATAATAAGAAACTAAGATGTGAAGGTAGCACTTTAACGGGAAAGTAAAATTTCCTTGTGTTTTATGTCAAATTTTTTTTTAAGAAAATTAAGCAGTTGCAAGAAAATTACTTTCCTAAAAATTTTCTCTTTCACACTAACCAAACTCCTAAAAAAGTTACATATTTTCCTTTTCTTTTCTTTTCTATCTATTTCATGTTAACCAAACAAAACCTAGATAAGGTTTTGTGCACCAAACAAAACAATAGGTTTTTGTTTTTTGCACTATTTGAATTTAACAGGGGTGTTTTTTTTACTATTAGGCCAAATTAGAATTATGTTTTTATTAAAGTCCTCATTGAATTATTCATTGAAATCGAAAAAAGAAAACAATTAATTTTTTATAATTACAATCACGTGGCATGGTGTGAGCCTTGTGAGATGTGAATAGGGGCGGCTCTAGCAATTTAGTCATTTGCCTAGCCCCACATGAAAAAAAAGGCCCCAGTCAAAGTGCATATTGTACTTATTATAGTTATGGTAGGTTATCTTTGTAATTTAATATTCTCCATATCATTTATGTTTTTTTTTAATATATTTTTAATATTTATTCTAAGCAGAAAAAACTATTAAAAATGAAAAATAACTGGTGCAATACCATGATGTTAGTAACTTACTTTTAAGTAGGGAGCTAGTTGTAGACTCAAAGAAAAGAAAGTTAGAGATGCATGCATTGTGTGAAAGAAAAGATAATAATTGAAAAGGAAAAGGTATTACAATAAAAAGGTTTTGATATAATTATAAATAGGGGTTGGTTAAGATATATGAAAAGATATGTATATAAAATTAAAATAATAAAAAATAAGTGGAATAATCTTAGGTTTTTGATAAGACGGTGGGTTTGAGTCCGAGCGGCTGCTCTAATAAGACCTTAGTTGGTCCGTCCTGTTTGACTGACCTTAATGGCTCCGTCTTGCTTGACATCATTGTCTTTTTTTAATCGACAATATTAAAACATAAAACTAGTACGAAACTCAACATTTGTTGCTTAAAAAATTCATTGTGATTTCGTCAAAAATTTAGTCTGTCTCTTAAAAATTCATTGACAATTTTGTTAAAATACTAAAATTCTCGTCTTAGACATCAAGTTATATTGAGCTAGTCCTACGCATAAATTTATATTGATTTGACTAATTTATATTTTTGATTAATTTGACCACGACTTACTTTTCAAATCTAATTTTTAATTTTCAAAATCAAAAATTATTTTTCCTACTGAACATGACTGCTTTTCACACATACATTGTTGGAGTCACTAGAGCTATATCCATAGCACTTCTTTTACTTTTCCCCCTCTAATTTCTAAGACATTATAGTATTAGGATAGTGGGACCCATTGAATGTAGCGAATTTAACGTCCAAGTTCATTTATACACATACAAATGTTGTTAACCATGCAGCAATATGTCGGTTTACGTATAATAATGTATACATATGTAACATATGAATATAATTTTTTTGAAAGTGGGCTTCGAAATTTTGGAACCACTCGAAAACTGCAAAACATGCTTCGCTGGAAATAGTTATTTACACCTAATTTTTCTTACCTTCCCCTCTCAAGGGAATGTATCTGAGGTATATATAACTAACCTACACCACCAGCTAAATCTCGGCCGCTAGTTCCAATCATATCACTCAAAAGTTGTGATGTTGGAGATAAGGTATTTAAATGAGACGATTCCAAGGTGATTGGTCGGGTAATTAGTTGGGACCCACAAAAGCTTAGCTCTGATTGTTACTTAAGGACACGGTGGACACGAGGAAACAGTCATTCGTTGGGTTTGAGTCGCACGCCAACACGCGCGGGTTCAATAAGGAACGTGTCAGAGCTTTTGGTTCTGATCTGCGTCAGCGTAAACCAAGATTATGGAATGTGGACAACATGTATGTCCAGATTTAGTTTTTCTATATATTAGCCCCCATTCTCTCTCTCTCTTCCTCCCTCAATTCGCAGTGTCCACCTATAGATAACGACTCACTGCAGCCTATTGTTATTCTGAGAAAGTGCATATAGAAGAGAGAGTGCAGAGAGAGAGAGAGAGAGAAAATGGAAGGAATTAGCTCGATGAAGAGTTTTAGGAAAAAGGAAAAAGATCTATTCCATGTAATTCACAAGGTTCCTTTTGGCGATGGTCCTTATGTCCGAGCTAAACATGCTCAGGTGTGCCTCTCTCTCCAAAATTATCACTATTAGAGCAATTAGTATCTTGTTTTTGTGAATACATTTATATAAACATCTCATATATTACGAATTTCACAATTTAAATCTTGAAGTATGTAAAACAATTGATTTATTCAACACCAATTTAAAAATACTTTTTTTTTTTTTTTTTTTTTTTTGGGGGGGGCGGGGGGTTTATTTTCAGTTTTTTGAAACATTTCGTTGCATTCTGCGCCCCTCCTCGTACCTAGTGTCTAGGAAATCCTTGTACCATACTCATTTCATCTTTGAAGTTCACTTATTTTTAAGGATCCTAAAATATTCCTTAATAGAATGATATTATAAACATTCATAATAATAAATCATGCATGTAGAACCACCAAATTTAAAAAATTGAGTGCTATAACATAATTTTATATCAGTTAAGTTCAAGAGTTGGAACTTGAAGAACTAACATAAATCGCAACGTAAATCATTGAAATTCAAATCTTCAGATTAATTTTATCATAAAGGTCAACGCGTCTCAGATCTCCATATTGGTTCTATCATAAAGGTCAACGCATCTCAGATCTCCATATTGATTCTACCATAAAGTTCAACTATAGTAAAAATACCCTCTTGCTGAATAAATTATCACACCCCAAATCTCCAAATTAATTGATTCTGCCATAAAGGTCAAATGATAACCAATAACTCTACTTACAATTTTCATCCCACTATGAGATCTCCAAAAGCAACTCTTTTAAAATTTTCACTAAGTGAAATGAAATTCAATTCTAACTATAAATTTTTTTACATTGATCTAGTTAGAGAAGCGGGAACTTTTTTCTTTTTCGCCATACATTACTTCTAAGAATGACCAATTGATTTTTACGGTTTTTTTTTTCTTTCCTAAATGAAGACTTTTACGTATTTGAAAAACAAAACAAAACAAAACGAGTTCAAGATGCGGTAAGCATATATTCGAGGGTTGAAAAACAAAACGAGTTCAAGACGCGGTGCCGGTTCCAAATAACTGATTCTAGCATAGAGTACCCTCATATTTAATATTTTTTCTATTTTTTTAAAAAATAATAAACAAATTGCTTGTGATCATGAATTCAGTTAGTTCAGAAGGATCCAGAAGTAGCAATAGTACTATTTTGGAAGGCTATAAATGCGGGAGATAGAGTGGATAGTGCCCTAAAAGACATGGCAGTGGTAATGAAGCAATTGGATAGAAGTGAAGAGGCTATTGAAGCCATCAAGTCTTTTAGGGTTCTTTGCTCCAAACAAGCCCAGGAATCACTTGATAATGTTCTCATCGACTTATACAAGGTATATATGGACTAAACATTCATATTTCCGTAATTAGCTATATATAATATCATATGTGAATATCTATATCTTTACTATTATTAAATGTGCAAAGAGTTTCAGTATTTTAGTATTTATTTATTAATTAAAAAAATATTTATTAAATAATATAAAACTTTAAAAATTACTTAATAAAATTCAAATTACCTAAATCTATATTATTATTAAAAGATTTTCTATAAAACTATAACACAAAATCTATATATATATATATATATATATTATTATTATAGAAGATAATGACATTCATCCGATCCGGCCAGTTATGATTATATCATTATCAGGAGAGGATACATGTCATCATTCTATTAATTCAAGAAGTTTATAAATAGAGGTATGGAGGAAGGATGAATGGTAAAGTGGGAATTCTAGAAATCCAAGGGTGCAAAATTTTAGAATAAAATACAGAAGTCAATATTCATCCCAACACCCAAGCCTTAAAGAACTGTTCTTCGTTCTTTTCTCCGTGATTCAACAAAATTGACCAAATTCAACTTCAACAAAAAACAAGCAGCAATAATAATATAAAAAATATTTATTAATTGATATAAAAAGAGTTTCAATATTTCAGTATATATATATATATATATATATATATATATATATATATATATATAATATTTATTAATTGATATAAAAAGAGTTTTTCACAAATTAGTTTTTATTATGAATTTTTTAATAAAAGAAAATCTAATTAGATAAGAATTATTAATATAAAAAATATTTATTAATTGATATATAAAATAAAATAATTTTTCTGAAACTCTACCACAAATTACGTTTTATTACGAGTTTCTTAATAAAATTAAATCTAATTAGACAAGAATATATTTAAAGAAAATAAAATAATTTTTATAAAACTCTATCACAAATTACTTATTTTATTTTCAATAAAACTCTATCACACTAGACAAATATATATTTAAAGAATTTCTATAAAATTCTAGCACAAATTACCTATTTATTTATTTATTATGAGTTTTTTAATAAAAGAAAATATAATTATACGAGTATTATTAATATAAAAAATTATTTACTAATTGATATAAAAAAGAGTTTCTATAAAACTCTAACATAATTTACCTACTTATCTATTTATTATGAGTTTTTTTAATAAAAGAAAATCTAATTAGACAAAATTATTAATATCAAAAATATTTATTAATTAATTTAAAAAGAGATTTTAAAAGAGTTTCAATATAAAACTCTAACACAAATTACCTATCACATTAGACAAGAAAATATTTTAAAAAATATATAACAATATAATAATACTTATAAATGAAATATAAAAGTATAAAGAGTTTTAACATTTCAGTACTCCATTCATCCCATAATAGTTGTTTATATTTCTTTTTTGGGTTTTCTCAAAATACTTGTCCACTTACCAAGTTTAAACAACATATTTCACATCTTTTCATAAAATACCCTTAAAATTTTAAAAATTTCAAACTTGATTGTATATATATATTTAAACTTGAAAGGGTAACTTCGTAATTTTTAAAGGGGACAATATAATAATTGCATGTTCCCTTAAAAAATTCTATTCTTTATAAGGGACATCTATTATGGGATGGAGGGAGTATTTATTTTTTAATATAAAAAGAAAACTATATCACATATAACCTCTGTATTTATTTATTTATTATGAATTTTTTAATAAAAGAAAATATAATTAGATAAGGATATTTTTAAATAAAATAAAATAATTTCTATAAAATAGTTAAAAAACATATAAAAAGAAAAATTCGACCAGTTACAAAACATTCATGCCTTTTCCTAAAATATATATGTGTGTGTGTGTGTGTGGGGTATCCATATGTATGTAGGCATTAATTACACTAACATATAATAAATTTAATTTGTAGAAGTGTGGTAAAGTAGATGAACAAATAGCATTATTAAAGCAGAAGCTTAGGTTGATCTACCAAGGAGAGGTCTTCAATGGAAAACCCACAAAAACTGCACACTCTCATGGCAAGAAATTTCAAGTTTCCGTCAAACAAGAAACTTCACGAATATTGGTACGTATGTACATATATGTTTACACGGATCATTTTTATTTTTGTTTATTCCCAAATTTATCTTTTTTTATTTATCACAATTCAAAATAGTAATAATGATGATGATAATTTAGAACTCATTGATGGTAAAAGTTTGGGTTAGCACATCATAGGATGTCAACACTATTAGCACATCATAAGCTTAGGAATTAACCGGTATACTTGCAACTTTTAAGTTTATAATAATCTTACTACATAAGATTTCGACATCTACTCCCAATTTCATTCTATGGTCACATGCAAAAAATTTTGGGGGAAAAAAAAGTCCCAAATGGTCCATTCAACTTGAAGAAATCTTTTAGATGGTATAAATCCTTTATAAACATGACTTTTTTCCTCTCTTTTTTTACCAGCCTCAAAACTTTGACCTAACTTCAGAGTTAAGACTAAAACTACTAGGATAAGGTAAAACCAGTAACATAAATTGAGAATATAAAGCATTCAAGACCGAAGAATATAACACTTTAAGAAATTAATAATGTTATATTTATTACATTCTCAAATAATGAGATTATAATGTATTGTATTGTCATGTAAAGAATGTCACATACAATAAAGTTTAGTTAAAACACTTATAATGGGGAGGACATATCCGAATTTACTTTAGATGTCAACGAAAACATGAGGCACTGCTTCTCTTATTTTCACCGAACCTCTCTCATTTTCACGAATTGAAGTGGTTTAGATGATCCTAATCTCAATCTCAGTGGATACATACATACATACTGCAATTTACTGGTAATAGTTTTTTGATTTATTTATATGAGTTGAAGTTATCAACAGATAGCGATTCATTAGTTTTTGGACTCATTTATAGATTCATTAGGTTTTGGACTTATTTAAAGATTCATTGATTTTTGGACTACTATACGTGGCCTGTTAGTCAATTTGTGATCCTAAAATATATATACTAACAATTATTTTATTATATTTTGGTGACATCTATGCTAACGAGTATAAGATTATACAGTGCCTACCGTACCACAACATGTTTCTTTATAAAATTTTAAATAAAATTATTTACGTTCCAAATTATAATCATCAGAATTATATAATTCCAAGTCATATAAAAATTTCTTTACCACTTCAATTGCTTGAATGTATTGTTATCCCAGCAAGTCCGACTTGTAAACATTGCAGGGGAATTTGGGCTGGGCCTATATACAGAAAATGAACTACATGGCTGCGGAGGTGGTGTACCGGAAAGCCCAAATGATCGACCCCGATGCCAACAAGGCGTGTAACTTGGGCCTGTGTCTGATAAAGCAAGCCCGGTACGATGAGGGCCGGTCAGTTCTTGAAGATGTATTGCAAGGTAGACTTCCAGGTTCTGATGATTTGAAATCGAGAAATCGAGCAGATGATTTGTTACTGGAAGTTGAATCCCGGCAGCCTCCGGATGAAGTGTCAAAATTTATGGGGCTTAATCTTGAAGATGATTTTGTTGATGGGCTTGAAAAGTTGATGAGTGAATGGGGCCCATTGAGATCCAAAAGGCTTCCCATTTTTGAAGAGCTCTCTCCATTTAGAGATCAGTTGGCCTCTTAAGTTTTGTATATTTTCTTTGTAATGTAAAATGCTTGTAGTATAAAAATATATTAGGTGTTTTTTTTTTTTTTTTTTTTTTTTTTTTTTTTTTTTTTTTTCCAGATTGCAATGGTTCAAAACTTAATTTATACCCAGAAGAATCTCAGTAAAACAAAATGACACTTTTACTTTCATATTTTATTTTTTCCAAATCATATTTTTATTTTTCCAAGTGAACATGCCTTTTACACATATTCACACCGTGGACGGAGTCCCTTGAGCTATCCATAATTCGTATCACTTCTCTTACTCTTTCTTTCTCTAATTTGATTTATATGTTCTAATAGTACATCAAGAGCACTGCAACACTTGACAATCAAATTATTATTTTTAGCTATTTCAATTACGAGTGTCTAACGAGAATTATTAAATTATTAATTAGGGTGAAATACCTCGACCTTCCCTAAGATTTGTCCAAATGTCTCCCAGCTAAAAATATCATCAAAGTAACCCTTAACGTTTGTCTAAATATCTCTTTGCTGAAATTATTGTCAAGATAGCATGCACCCTCCCCTAAGATTTGTCAAAAATAACCCGACACCGCTTAAGGTTTGTCCAAATTTCTCTGAACACCCATAACATTAATCAATATAATATTTTCTAAATGTCCAAATTAAACAACTTGAAAGTGAGAGAAAATAACTCAAATGACCGTTTCAACCAAATGTAATTGGACAAAACTACCATTTCTTATATCTCCCCTTTAGACTGTTTTTGTAGTCAATTGAAGAATTTTTTTTTTTTTTTGAACAAGTGGTTTGTTGATGAATCAAATAATGAATTATTATTAACCAATGTCTATTTTGTTGAATTATATAAATTATTTATTGAATAATTTGTTTTGACAACAAATATGTTGAATTATATGCTGAAATGGTTATTTGGTAACAAGGTCATTTAAGTCATTTTCTCTTAATTAGTGTTAGTATAAGCATTTATAAAATAAACAAAAAAATTCTATTTATCGACTTAAGTCCGACTTGGACATGTCAAGGGGTATCAAAGATTATTAGACTCTTACTTCCCAAAGGGAGGTCAATACTCAAGTCTCAATGGAGACGTGTGTGTACCAACTAAGGAAAAAAAAATAATAAATAAATAAAAAATGTTATTTTGATAATAGTTAGGTTTTTGAACAAACTTCAGGAGAGGTTGGGAGGTTAAGGTATTTCACCCTATTAATTAATAATGCATGATATTGATATCTCTCTTTTTAAAGTGTTTAAATCAACCATGAACCCATTGCTATGTAAAAATATAAATTTGGGACTTTTATAATTTTCCTTATATTAAAGGAAGTGGAACCAATTGAATATGTAGCTAATTTAACGTCTAGGTTTACTTGTCCAAATACAAATGCCAATAACCTGGCAACAATTAACATATACGTAGTACATTAAGTGGAATAGATTTTTATTCTTTGGCTCCAAGTTTAAAAGTAGTCCAAAAGTACTGCAAAACACACACACACATTCACATGCACCTAATTTTTCTTACCTCCCCTCCCCGCCGAGTCCTGAACCCGCATGCATTTTTAGTTTATAAAAATATGGTTGTAACAACGTAACAATAATAATGCGTTCACTAACAAAAAAAAAATGCTAGTAACATAACGATAATATTGATCCACACGGGTTGGTCTAGTGGAGTAAAGGCGTGAGATAGATACACTAGAATATGTTGTCCTTATATAGTTTGATACTGAAAGGTACATTAAAAACTAATACTCTTCCTAAATTGCTCGTTACTTATCCAGGAATAGTGTTCGGGTCTCACTAATGTCCCTGTGATTTATTTTTTAGAGGTGGGTCCAAAAAACCTTGCCTTAGGGAGGTTCCACGGTTAACAAAAAAAAACAGAGACATAACAATAATGTATACAAGCGAGCACAGACTAACAAAAACAAAATATTAACTTAATTTAGTTATGTAAATTACTAGTAACATAGCTTTGATTGTTACGTAAGACCAATGGGAAGAAAGGAACGTAAACAATATTTAGTTTCTTTCTTCTTCTTCTTTTTTCTGGTAACTAAAACAATAATACAACAATATTCAGTTTCTCCCTCACTCCTATATATTAGTTCAACATATTCTCTAGGTCTCTCTATGAATTCATATATATATATATACACACACACACACACACACATATACAGAGAGAGAGAGAGACAGCGAGAATGGAAGGAATTATGTCAATGAAGAAAGGCTCTAGAAAGGATAAAGAAGCATTCCACGTACTTCATATATATATATATATATATATATAGATATCATGAACATCTCGTGTATATCTTATGACTTTTTCACAATTTAAAGCTTCAAGTATGTAGTAAAAAAATTGATTTATTGAGCACCTATTTGAAAACTCTTGATTAATTTTGGCCTACTTTCAAATTTTTTAAAGCATTTCGTCGCCTTGTAGGCACCTCTGATACTTCCAGGAATTCCTAGTAATCCTATGCTCATTTTAACCTCAAAATTCACTTATTTATAAGGCCATTCTTAAACTCAATGATCTTATAAATGTTCTTAAATAATAAATCATGCATAGAACCGCTAAATTAGAAAGTTTGAGTGCTATAACATAATTTTTTATCACTTAAGTTCACGAGTTGGAGTTATAAATGAATTTGAATGACGAACATTTAGTATTGCATCTCAAATCTTCATACTGATCTACCGTAAAGGTCAACAATAGTCAATAACTCCGTCTTAGAGTAAATCACAACATTTGAATCTCTTCAAATTGATTATACCATAATGGTCAATGATAACCAATAATGCCGTCACAAAGTAAATCACTGCACCCCATGATATCTCCAGATGGATTCTACCATGAAGGTCAATTATAGCCAATAACTCTATTTACAATTTTCATGAGAAACTCTTCTCAAATTTTCACTCAAAATGTGTTGAGTTAATAAAATTCCATTCTAACTTTAATAATTCGTGTGGTTCAACATAGTCTAGTTACACGATAGAGTTCCCCCTCACCCCTTCCTTTTTTTTGGTCCCAATTACTCATTAACTGAAGATATACATATATAGGTGCATAATTGCCTCTTTTATTAAAAAATTCCATTATATATTGCGCCTACCCATTCTTATATATTTTATCTTTATTCTAATGACATCTACCATTCTTATCCTATCTATAAGGAAACGTGCAAGTTTTAAAAACTTTCTGAGGAATTTTCTTATATAAATCTTGATTCATCACATAAAGACAAGTTTTATGCAAAAATAAAATATGATGTATCATTCAATTAATAGATTGAATACTTACATCAATGTTTGAGTAAACCTTAGATCTCTCCTCTAAAGTGAATGTTCTCACCTATTGTAGATCCCTTTTCTAGATGCCTTCTCCTTGAATCTCCATCTTCTTAGGAATGGTTTTGCCTTTAGGAATCACCCATAAGCCTCCATGAATGATTTTGGAAAACTAGGCTTGTGTGAGCCTTCATTAGATAAAAACACTAACCCTAAAATTCTAGAGAGAAAAAATATTCTTTTTTCTTCCAAAAGTCACACCTAAAATATACATGAACCATGTATATATATAGGCAACATAAAGATAAGGAAAGGAAATAATAAATCATTCTCAATCTTTAATTACCATATCTCAAATCTAATAGGATTCCAATATTAAGTTGGGCTATGAGTAAGAATCCTTTAGGCTTTTTTATTTTCTTGGCTACAATAAATTAATAATTGGCCCGATCCATGAACCCAATTCAATTAATTCATAAATTAATTTCTACTCCACTAAAAAAAATTAATTGAACTCCAATTAAATAATAAATAATTTCTAAGTTAATGTTGCATTTTGACCACTCTATGCATAATTAGTTATCGGATAAATAAAGCCATCAATCCGACTACTTAATTAATATATTTATTTTAGTATCTTTGATTATTTCCGGCTTGATCACAATAAAACATTTGTTTGACAAAAATAATAATTTAAATCAATATATATATAATAAATTATTTTGTCTAAAAACACACGAAGACTTTCGAATTTACTTTCTGATCAACCATAATCAATACAAAACAAATACAAGTAGTAATGATGCAAACATTGAAAATATAACCCTCTAATTATTAATTACATAATTACCCAAAGTGCCGGTCTAAGGATTCCGAAGATTCCGCCGAACAAATCAAAGTAATTACTAATTAATAAAAGAGTCTATATTTCTCTTATGCTTAAGAGTCAAATGTCATGATGGTGATAGGGAGCAATTGCATTCGACGGCTCTCGCAATATATCTCAACCTAACATGGATCTAGTTCAAGTCTTAGTTAATAATGAGTCCATCCATTATTACCGACTATGAACAATTTATAATTACTATTTATATTCATGTATTAATCATCATCACATACATATATAAATATCTCTTGTAATCAAATGGACACAATCAATTCCATAATGAATCGAAACACAATACAATGAATTCACCAATTATATAAATCATAAATATTTCAGATATGTCAGGAACATATGTTACCACAATCCAAATAGAAATTTGCTATGCTAGGGCATATAAATTCCAACACTGTCTTTTTCTTATATGCCACTTTTACGGTTGTAATACCCCAAATTTCAAAAGGATTGTCCTGATATTTCATTTATTATTTAAATTGTATTTTATTTGTTTAATTGATTTAATTGCATTTTTTTATTTAATTAATTGTTTAACTGTGTGTGTTATTTGTTTTGTTTTCATTAGTTGATTTATTTGAACTTTATTTGCTTGTTGTTTATATTGGTTTGTTAATTAATTGTGTTGTTAATTATTTGTTTTATTGAATTTAATTAAATTAATGTTTATTGTAGGGTTTTATTTCTTTTAGTGTTTCACGTATTTTACTGATGTAGAGAATAACAGTATTTGTGTTTTCCTTCTTGGATAGAAATTTTGGATTAGGGTTTTAGTTTAAAACCTATAAATATATCATTAAGACAACTAGGGTTTTAAAAAGTCTTTATACCACTCAACACAGAGAGAAAACAGAGACGTGAGAGAAACGGAGCAAGGCTTGAGGGAAATTTTACAGAAAGACCAAGGAGGTTGATTGAGGTTAGATTCGGAGCAATAGAAGGTTTACCGGTGTTCAGTAGTTGCCGAAAACTTAGAGACGACGCCGAGATTTCATAACTGAAATCACAGGCAAGTTCTTCTCTTTCTCCTTCTCTTTGGCTGTTATGTGCACCTAGATAATCTTTAGGGTTTAATCAAT